GGAAATTTAATTGCATTAGGCGGAAATTATTAACCTAATACTAAAGTCACAGCATACATCATAATTGGAAAACTCACAGCCAATCAACTGCCCAATTTCCTTGGTATTTAATGGACCCATACCCATACAGACTGCCACGTAAATCAAAGTGTCTGTGATTAGCAAAAAATACTTTTTATTATAATTAAATAATAATAAAAAAAAGGAAGTGAAAAGGACAAAGAAAAACCTTGAGTGGGAAAATTCAAGCCCCTTCCTCTCCATTTTTGCTCAAGAATCCAAGGTATTGAATTATATTACATATTTTTGAATTTGCTTTTAAATTTGTATTTATTATTAAGAGATCTTTAATTAGTAAAAAAAAAAAATCAATATGTATCGTTGTTTTTGACTCAATGTCAGCTTATAATGCTGGAATCAATCAGGATCTCGAAAAGAAAACAAGTAAATTTTTATACGAATTGATTTGTGGCTGTGCTGTAAAATTAATGAATTATGGGTTTCAATTGAGGAAAATAAATGTTCTTATTGATTATAAGCTTTTTATTAATTCTGAACATTCCTGGATATGCGTGAATGCTCCAAGATTGTGCTTGAGAGCACTTGTTTAAGGTGATCCTTTGAAGTTTATAAATTGAATTTGGGGGTTTTGTGTTTAAAGTGAAAATCACTATTATGAGGGGAGCTCAGTTCGTGAATTGCATTTGGGGCTTCCTATTGAATCTGGAGATCACATTGGACATGTAATCCTTCAAAGTTCAACATGAGAATTTTGGGTTTTGTAGAGTTTTATGGACATAAACTCTCGATTCACACGATAATTTTGCTTCAGTTTCTCTTGCAGAAAGGGGCTTGAAATTTTCGTTTAATCAAAATGGGTGTTATGTCAAGACGAGTAGTACCAGCATGTGGAAATCTATGTTTCTTTTGCCCTTCAATGCGGGCAAGCTCAAGACAACCTGTCAAACGGTACAAGAAGCTCCTTTCTGAGATATTTCCACGGTCACAGGTGAACTTTTGACTTTGTTATTTGCTTTGGGGTATGATGATTGATCACTAATTATCTAGTCTGTGATAACTACTTACCAACCTATGGAAGTTAACAATTATGCCAAGGCTATACATTTTTCAGAAGTTTTGAAGTAATTTACATATGATTTCATTGTTAAGCTGGTTCAGCATAATAAATTTTTAGTGCATCGTTAATTTTTAACATTATGCTAATCTACTTGAATTGTTTTTTGCCAGGATGCTGAACCAAATGACCGGAAGATTGGAAAACTTTGTGAATATGCATCAAGAAATCCTTTACGAATTCCAAAGGTGTGTATTATCTCTATGTTCAGTTAGGTTTAATATATATAATACTTTTTTTCTGTGAGGTTGTAGGACCACAAAAAAGTAAGATTTACATCCCTGAGTATCAAAAGGGATTTTGTTGATCTACATCCCAGCATATCAAAATTCTATCAGAATCTTCAAATATTATCTCTCTCTCTTTCTAAAATGGCATGGCTAATTTCTTCAACCATTTGTTTCATCTACCTATTTTCTTTCTTAGTCAAGTTTCATCTTTTACTGTTAAATTTGATGTTTGATCGATTCCCTGATAAAATTATGATATTCATCAAGTATTAGGTACACATTTTGACATTGTTTATCAAGTTGTTCAAGTCATTAGTTTAAAAAATTGCTCACATTCGCATATCGCTAGCCATTAACCTCTTTGAACCACGACACAAACGTGATTGGTTGTCTCTCTTGCCATCATTTTAATATCTATTAATTTCCTTAATATGTTGTTGATTGTCCATGATTCAGATTACTGATTACTTGGGGCAACGGTTTTACAAGGATTTGCGAATTGAGCAATTTGGCTCCGTAAAAGTTGTTTTGCTCATTTATAAGAAATTGCTATCTTCGTGCAAGGAGCAGATGTAAGTTTGACAAATTTATCAACATTACTGGCTTTCCGCACGCAAGTCATTTACATTTGATATTTGTTTGGCCGTTGATACATTATTTTAATCGTAGTGACACTCTCTGTCTTCTATCTATATGTTTAGAGCCTCTCTCTCCCTGTCTCCCCCATACATCTCTATATCCACATTTTCCATTTATCTACTTTCATGGATCATGATATGGACCTCGAGAATATATAGAGTATATGAATATCACATTAGAACATGTTTATTGTGTCATAATCTGATA